GGAGAAGGACAGAGGAGCCTAATTGAATCAGCAAAATAGAAGACAAATCTTTTGACACGATAGGTCAAAGGGAAAAAATCAGGGGGAAAAAGGACAAAGAAAAACTATGCATGCCTAAGAATTACAAGGAATAATTGATGCCTGGAGGAACCAAAACGGAACCAAAACACCGAGAAAGCAATCAGAGATTTGCTGACAGAAAGCCTCCTTTAAAGAAGCTCAGAGAGGTACTATACAGAATACATCCCCAAAGAAAGTCCCACCCACACTGCAGTTCAAGAAAAATGAAAAGTTGCCTGCAAAGGGGAAGTCATAGACTAAACAACTCTCACTGCTCCGTGGGAACCATGGAGATGAGTTGACCTCTACACAACCTTGGAAGAAATAAAAAATCCTATCCAGCAAAACTGTCTCCAGTATGAGGGCAAAATTAGGGCATTTCCACACAGCAGGCCCACAGGCCAGGGGACATTCAAGATGCAGGCTGTACACAGGGACATAAATACCCGGAAGAGAAGGTCCCTGGAACACTGTGGAGGCATCTTGCCACGTGTCACACGGAAATGCTTTCTATAAGAAAGAGTCCGAGTCTGAGGGTATGGTCTAAAAAAACCCCTTTGTTTTTTTTTTTTTTTTTTAAGTGGTGAATAAATAGGTATAAAGGAGTTCAAAAAGTTGTGGAAGAATGGAATTAAAAGATAATGGAATTTTCCATGAACTTCCTCCCCCCATCCTTCCAAGAACTTTGAAGATCTCTCCTATTTATACGTTAAGTTAAATTTACTTCAAAGTATACATCAATCACCTTGGTGACTCCCCACTTTAACTGACAGTTGATTCAATGAATGGTTATAAGATAGGATCATTTTGAAGAAGAAATGAGTAACCCCATGAAAATTCCTAAAACAAAACAAACAAAAAACCAAGAAGAAAATCCCCCCAAACAAACCCCCAAATGCTTTGAGATGTTCTTCTTTTTAACAGATCTAACTGTAGAGTATCAGGTTGACAGAAGCAACTGGGAAAGGTAGACAGGAAGCTTACAGAGCAGTGAGTGAGTGTATGTGAGCGAGGGAGTAAGCAGTAGCGGAGGAGGTTGAGAATGGTTGGACAACTGGAAGCATATCATTAGTGTTGCTGAATTTTACATGTAGAAATTGCAGAAGCGGTGTCCGTTCTGCTGTGTACATTTGCAACAAAAACAAAAAAGATGAAAGAGTTTCAAAAGTTGCTTGAAGAAGGGGAAAAAATAGGGCATTCCCAGATAAATAGAAATTTAGGGAACTTATAAAAACCAGACCAAGCTTACAAGAAATATTCGAGGGAGACCTTTAGGCATATCCCTGAAAGCAGGGAACAATGATGTCAATCTGGATATGATGACAACATTAGAACAAAAAGGGGAAATAAACAGCGTCATTATAGAACTTTCCTACAGAGAGGAAGTCAAGGTGATATCAAGAAATAAAAGGCCGTTTTAAAGTTGGAAGATGAGTGCAAATTTCAACGTAACCATAGATAAAGTTAACAAACCTATTGATTAAAAGAAAACAAAACATGAAGACTCAGTAAACAGAAAGTCAACAACAGTGAAACAAAGAAACCAAAAGAACCCACATACAAAAAGAACTTCACACAGAAAATTAAGCGGAACACAGAGACAATCAACACACAGCCTCCTACACACAATGTCAATGGTAAGCTCATAATTTGTCAATAAGCACCCTGAATATGAATGGTATAAATGTACCAATAAAAAGAGAGTGGCAGAATGAAGTAAAGAAAAAAAAAAACATGACCTAACGTGAGATGGAGAAAGCGGGGGGAGGGGGGGACACCCTTCAATATGTTGTGTACAAGAGGTACATCTTAGGCACAAAAACATAAACTAAAACTCAAATGATAGAAAAACTATATTATGCAAGTCATAACAAAAAATAACAATGTTGATCTCTGATAAAATAGATTTTAAAGTAAAATCCACCATAAAGACAAGAAAGGCCATTACAGTATATAATAAGTAAAGGATAATTAACCAAGAGGGTATAAGCATGCGAAATATATATATGTGCCCACTGACAGACCTCCCAAACACATGAAGTAAACTCTAAAAGAAATGAAAAGAAAAAAAAAGAATTGAAAAGTTTGAGAATGTTGATGGCAACAAATGTACATATGTGCTTGACACAATGGATGTATGTATGGATTGTGATAAGAATTGTACGAGCCCCCAATAAAATGACTAAAAAAAAAAAAGAAGAATTGAAAAGAGACCTAGAGCTGCACAATAAGAGGAGGCTCAGGCCCATAAGGTTTCGCGAAGGACAGAAAACTAGAAAGAAACTCAACAAAGATAGAGAATACCTAAATGCTACAACCAGCTGACTCAAAGTCATAACATATACAGGGCACTCCACCCCACAGAAGCAAAGTGTACATGATTTTCTGCTTGGTCATTCTCCAGAATAGACCACATTTTAGACCACAAAGCAAGCCACAATACAATCCCAAACATTGAAACCATGCAAAGTATTTTTTTCTGATCAGGGTTATAAAAATAAAAATCAATGACAAGAAGAGCACGAGAAAAGATCCAATGCATGGAAACTAAATAAGACATTGCTTGAAAACCACCAGAAAACAATAGAAGACATCAAAGATGAATTTTTTTAAATCTCCTGAAGTCAAACATGAATGAAAGCACAACATGCCATGTTGTTGTTTTTAGGTGCTGTCCAGGCTGCTCTGACTCACAGCAACCCACTGGACAATAGAAGGTGACCCTGTGCAGTCCTGTGCCACACATCCTTTTTGTCATGTTGGAGCTCATTGTGTCACGCCATCACATTGAAAGTCTTCCTCTGTTTGGTGGATGTTAATTAAAATCACAATGAGATAGAAATCTCACCTCACCACAAAGAACAAAATTCAAAAACCAAGCACATGGCAAACAGTGAATACTGGTGATAATGTGGAGAGATTGGAACTCTCGTGGAAACCAGTGCTGCAACCACGTGGGTAAGAGTACGGCACTTTCTTTAAAATTTGGAAATTGAAATGTTATATGATCCAGAGATGGATATATGTCCTAGAGAAAGAAGAGATGTGACATGATAGATACCATGCACATTCATGTTCATCACACTGTCATTTGCAATAGCAAGAAGATGGGAGAAATCTAAGTCCTCGCCAAGGGATGAATGGAAAAACAATGAGACATCAATACTACGCAACATTAAAGAATAATGCTGAATATGCAAAATGTTATGCTGAGTAAAATTAGTCAATTACCCAAAGGACAAATATTGTTTGTGATCATAAACACACACACACACAACGAGAGTTTGAAGATTATGCCGAGTGGAGTGAAAGGGGGGACAAAGCACTGACTAGAAGGGAGACGTACTCACTAGGGTGAAAGGTGGTCAGCACAGAATGATCAGGGCAAAAGCAGACATTGGAATGGCACAAAAGCCTCATCTCTGAATTGTTGAATGGAAAACGAGTTGATTCTGTCAACTCTCACCCAAATCACAACAAAAAGAAGGTTAAAAGAGCAAGACCGAGAGTGAGATGGAAGTGATTTGGGGGAAATCTGCAAGGGTATTTCTTTAAATCATTTTATTAGGGGCTCATACAACTCTTATCACAATCCATACACACATCAATTGTGTAAAGCGCATTTGTACATTCATTGCCCTCATCATTCTCAAAACATTTCCTCTCCACTTAAGCCCCCCCCTCCCGCATTAGGTCCTCATTTTTCCCCTCCTTCCCCCCCTCCCTCATGAGCCCTTGATAATTTATAAATTGTTATTTTGTCATATCTTGCCCTGTCCGACATCTCCCTTCACCCACTTTTCTGTTGTCCGTCCCCCAGGGAGGTCACCTATAGTTCCTTATAATTGGTTCCCTCTTTCCAACCCACTCTCCCTCTACCCTCCCAGTATCACCACTCACAGCACTGGTCTTGAAGGGATCATCCGCCCTGGATTCCCTGTGTTTCCAGTCCCTATCTGTACCAGTGTACATCCTCTGGTCTAGCCAGACTTGCAAGGTAGAATTCGGATCATGATAGTGGGAGCGGGGAGGAAACATTTAGGAACTAGACCCCTCTGCAAGGGGATCTCCAGTGTCCTACTCATGGGCTTTGGGTCTCCACTCTGCACTCCCCCCATCATTCACTATGGTAAGATTTTTTGTTCTGATGATGCCTTACACCTGATCCCTTCGACACCTCATGATCACATAGGCTGGTGTGCTTTCTTCCATGGGGGCTTTGTTGCTTCTGAGCTTGATGGCTGCAAGGGTATTTTAAAATGAGGGAGTCGATCATCTGTGGTTGCTATACTACTCAAAGACACATGCTGGGCTTGAACTAGGGAAGATACAAACGTATAAGACATGGTCTGGCCCTGTTGTTGAGGATTTCGCAGTCTAGGACTTCCATAAATGAAACAATTAAAAGCAAGCACCATCAAAGAAAATACAATCCTACAGGAATTTTCCACTTTTGAGTCTCCCCATATGTTATAGGTAACATTGAGACCCTCACCAACCTTTTGAAGAGGCCATCATTATTTTCATTAAAACATTTTTCCATTAAGAAAAGTGAGTTTAGAAAAGTTGAGCCCCAGGCTTGAGGGTAGAGGGTTGATGAGATGCAGAGAAGGCAACTAGGTTGTCAGGCTCCGGAGCCTGTACTCTTCCATCCTTTCTTTTCCTATACAGGAAAAGATCTTCCAAAACGATGATAAAATTCTTGTTTTTCTTAATTGAAACATGGATGCAAAGAACAGAGGCTAATGGAATGGGGAGTCCCCTCCTCTTTCTCACAATTGTCTTTAAAACTGATACAATGTTTTTGCATATCAAAGGAAGCAGGAAACAGTGAGGGCAGAACATGTTACATTTGTACCACTTCCTGCTCTTTGGCTCGCCTTTACTTCAAGTGTTCGTTTTTGTTTTCCTCTTGAAGGCAACTCTATGGAACTAGGAAGATGAATAAAAACAAACTGATCCATGATTTCCTGGAGGTCGTTTCGAGAGGTGATGTGGAACTCATCTGTGACCATATTACAAAAGTCCATTCCATCCTGGGCAATCTTGACTTTCAGCATCCAAAGACCGGAAATACCCCTCTCATCGCTGCCGCAGAAGAAAATCTGACAGAGGTAAACGGGTTATCCTGGGATCTCAGGATAAAGAGTACTCTAGGCTAAGGTTTCTGAAAATGAGGGGCTTTCCATAATCATCCATTTCCATACAAGAATGTTAAAGGGCACAAAGAAGGGCAGGGGTCCGAACTGGGCCTCTCTCATAAGGTAGATGAGGTCCATTTGATTAATTCCCTCGCTCAATTAATAGATACTCTCTCTGTACCTATGGCGGTGTAGTAGATTTCATGGAGGATACAGAAGTGAATCACATACAGATTCCTCCCTTGAGGACCGTATGACCTAAGGACGCTCATCCTTCCCTGCTTGCTCCTCCTGTATCAGGACCTGGACGTGTAGCCTCTGTTTTAACAAATGCGTACAACCTTGGAAGCAGAGAAGTTGATACAAATAACTGAATCATATGACCTAAAAGGGCACCTGTATCCCCAGCAACAAGCAGAGGGTCTGGCATTTCTAGGTGCTTAGTAAATATTTATTAAGAGATTAAGCAAATGAATAAATAACCACTTGGATCTTTTTTGGCCCTTTATACCATAGCATGAAGCTTTAAAAAAACTTTTAAGATTTATTTATTTTTATTATGGTGGATATGAGCGTGTGTGTATATGTGTATATACACACGTGCATATAGAGACACACAAAAGAAATTTTCCTATGCAGCATTTTTCACAGTTGCAATTCAGTGAAATCCATGATTTCCATCATGATGTGCAACCATCATCATGATCCATTTCCATTTCTCCCAGCATCCTTCACAGAAGTTCAGTGCCCCTTAAAGCAAAAGCTCCTTTCCCCCTCCCTCCTGTGCCTTGGAACCATGAGCAACTTTTGGTTTCTGTACATTTGTCTAGTATAGTTATTTTATATCAGTTATTTCATAAAATATTTGTCATTTGTGACCAACTTACTTCACTCAGCATAATGGCTTTAAGCTTCACCCAAATCATAGCCTATGTTGGAGTTTTATTTCTCTTCATTGTATATTTGAGAATGCTTTAAAAGTTTGTGGGAAAAAATCCCATTATCTTTTTATTAGGTTCTTCCATGAACTTTTTAAATCCCTCTAATACTATGCTACATTTTATTTATCTATTTGCATAAGATGCTCTTAATAATGCAGGTGAAAGGGGTAAAGCATTATGAATACTGAGAATCCAGAGAGGACATCAAAAAGGAAAACTAGGATAAAAAAAGGCAAACCACACGTGTTGGTGCCTCTACAGTTCTTGGGACTTTAAATGCAAAGGGACCCTCAGACCTACCTGCACCTTTGCTTCCTCAGCTAGCCTCTATCCTCACTATAGCCCTAGCTCTTTTTCATAAAAACAGTTTTATTGCCACTTAATCCACATATAACACAATTCACTAGTTCAATCATATCAAGGATTGTATAATCATCACCACACTCAATTGCTTTTTCTCTTTCACACCTTACCACTAATATTTTTAAATGATGTAGTATATATGCTAAAATATACATATATAACGTAAAGAAAAATTATGAATTGAGCCCCTGGTTACCTACTATCCTGGCCAAAATACAGGAAATGACTCAGAAGCCATTTTTACGGCAAAAAACGATGTTGGAAAAGGAGCCAGGGCCAGATCATGCATGAAAGGCATTTGGAAATGCAGAGACGCAGTAGAAGACTGGCCTGAAATCGTGGTGGCCTTTACTGCAGTGGCAGCCGGAAAGACAGACAACGTGGACTGATGTCAGAAAACTGGGAGTTGTCCTTGATTTCTGGCTCACCATTAGCCCCGATACCTGGTCAATGATGAACCAGAAACACAACCAAAACAACAGGGTTTCCAGGCTGAAATCTTAAAAAAAAAATTTTTTTAACATATTCATTCATTTTTTTATTTTAAGAAATCATTTTATTGGGTGTTCTTACAGCTCTTATAACAATTCATACATCAATTGTATCATGCACATTTGTACATGTCACCATCATCATTTCCAAAACATTTTCTTTCTACTGGAGTCCTTGGTATCAGCTCGTCTTTTTTGTCCTCTCCCTCCACCATCCTCCCACCCTCATGAACCCTTGATCATTTATAAATTGTTTTTATTTTCATACTTTACACCATCCCCTGTATCCCATCACCCATGTTTCTGTTGTTTATCCCCCTGGGAGGTGGGTGTACGTCAATCATGGTGATAGCTTCCCTGTTTACCCTTATGGTATTGCTACTCTCATTATTGGTCCTGAGGGGTTTATCTGCCCTGGATTCTGTGTGTCGAGAGCTCTTATTTGTACCAGTGTGCATGCTCCGGTCTAGGTGGATTTGTAAGGTAGAATTGGACCAGGCTGAAATCTTTATGGAAACCGACTGCGACATCTTTCTCCCGTGGAGCAGCTAGTGAGTTTACAGGTCAGCCTTTGGGTTAGCTCTCAACTGCTCTTGACCACTGCATCACCAGGGCTCCCTTAGACATGGACCAGTCCCTGTTATCCCATGATCAGACTCTCAGTTGCTCTATTTCCACAGCCACTTGCCTTGTTAAGTCATCCCCATTTCTCCATGGTGCTCCTCCAGGAGGACCCCACCGGCTCCCGACTTTTACTCTTGCTCAATACCATAGCTATTTCAGCAGCCAGAGCGATTTTCTAAAATATTAACCTTTGTTCCCATGTTTAAAACCTCTCTATGTCGTTCCCACCCCCAACTTGCCCCTAAATGTAACGAGAACCTCTCCAAGCCCAGCTCCTCCTCCTTCCTCATGTCCAGAGCTTTGCTCACAGCAAACTCCTTCAAGAGCTTTGAATGTTATAATCTTGTTCCAGTACTTTATTCGAACCATATCCTTTGCTTAGAACAATCCTCCCCCTGCCCCCACCACACCCCTAGTTTTTGCCTAGTTAACTGGATCTGGTCCCTCAGGATCAGCTTAGTCATCTCTCTCCAAGAAGCGTTCAATCCATCTGACCCAAGATGGATTCATAGGCTTCTTTGAAGTGTCTCCTGGTCTCCTACAGTCACTTCGGGCCTTACATAGATGATATGGTGCCACCATTGCCTTTAGTGAACGCCTCTCTGCGCCTCACTATACTCTAAGCACCATGAAGGCCAGTCCTGTCTTCCTTCGATTAAAACTCCATCACCAAAGACATTTTTTTTTGCTACACGCTAAGCACCCAACCCATACTTGTTGACTAAGTCATGCTCTTCCCATGGGTGTGTTGAGTAAGTCATGCTCTTATGACCCTTTGGAGCACCTGTGTGGTACAAATGGTTAAAACCACAGTTCTGACACATATCACATTACCATGAGTCAGAATCGAGTCTATAGAACGGGTTAACATGATCGTCATTTGAAGAGAATGTGTCCTATCCCCAGAACACTTGCGGCAGTAGAGGATCTACATGCTTGCAATCTTGGGGCATTTAAGTTTTATGTGCTTTTTTATTTTTAATGATCCTAATAGGACCTCAATGTATTATGCGGATTTAACATACCATATACTCATGTATAAACCGAGTTTTTCAGCACAATTTTAATGCCGTTTTTGTGGTAAAACCAGGTGCCTCGACTGATTTTCAGGTCCGCTTATACTCGAGAATATACGGAAATCCTAAAAAACAAACAAACAAACCAGCATCTAAAAATCTTAAGGTTTGTTTTCCAAATTTAAAAAAGGCCAGAAGCCAAACCGAACCTTCATTTTTATTCACATCTCATCCCCCTTCCCTGTGCTATGGATCAGAGCCAGAGCTAGGTCGGTTTGTTATCCAGCTCTGAGAAACACCGTTGGCACTCAGATATGCTAACACCTGTCGGGGCATTGCAGGTCATTGGATTTCTTCTGGAGAAGGGAGCAGATCTCACCCTCTGCAATTACAGCAACCAAACGGCAGTCCACGTAGCTAACTGCAATATGCAGCAACAGCTTCTCTTGGCCGTCAATGGAATTCAGCCTCCCCAAATGCAACTGCTACGGAGTTCATGGCAAGGTGATCTGAAACAGCTTCAACACCTGCTGGTTAGTGAAATTGATGTTTACTTCTGTTTGGGGGTGGGTGGTAAGAAGCTTACAAATTACCTGCCAAACCTTTAAAACTAGAAGTCCTTTGTAAGTGCAGTTTCAGAAGGCTTTAGGCCCAAAATTAATAAGAGCAAGGCACGGGATCAAAGAAGACACTGGGGTGGAAAACAAGATAATAAAAGAACACAACAGCAGCCTATTTCCACGTTGCTCCAAGTGGCTGCTAGAAGAAGTCACACAGCACCCCTGGGAAATGATGTGCTCCTGGGGAACCCTCAGAGGGCCATGGTCAACTTGCTCATAGAGGTTCCCTTGACATCGCTGCCATTTGTACAGTTGCTGGTTAGATCCCCTTGGACCGGTTGCAGTTATTATCTAACCCTGAAAATGGAAACAGAGAGCCTGTGCCTTGCACATTATTTAGCTGTGACTGAAGGGGTGTGAAGAGGTAATATCTTTAAAATGTTGTCTTCCTCGGGGATCGGCCTTCATGTTTAGATTATCTACCTCGTGGTACTTTTTTCCTAAAGAACTTGCAAGATCATGCTTACCCAAGGACACGCATCACTGGTGACTGGTAAACACAAACCCTTGGCATTGACCTGCAAACATACTGTTGGCTCACGTGACCTTACGACCAGAAAAAAAAAATCACTTGTAGTTAGGAAAGTTTTTCCCATCCCTTATGGACATAGACAGAAACAGAGAAACGGGAAAGATACTCTGATCTCATTCAACTCTAATTTTCAAGAATAAGTAAAACTCAAGCAAAACACCAAAGCCAGTCACCCTCAGGTCAGTTTCCGACTCATTGCAATTGCAGGTGCCTTGGGATGTGTTCGAACCACTAACCTTTCAGTTAGTAGGCAAGTGCTTGAACTGTTTACACTATCCAGAGATCCCATGGATAGACACAATAAAACCTAAAGGAGTATAAAAAATTATTTTGTTGTCCTAAATGGTAGTCTAAAATCAACACTTACCACTATTCACTATCTGAGGCTTAAAATTTTTTTCTTAAACATTGCATCTCTAAGGGTATTTGTAACAGCTATTACTGTATTATGATGTTTGCGTCGTATCATTTTTTTTTTTTTACATCTAAGAATAAATAACTGGATCTTACTAAACCTGTGCCCTAGCTGGCCCCAGAGCTTAACCAAGAGAAGCTGAGTGCAAATGCTATGGCAAAATTATTCTCAGCTTCAGCATTCATGTTTGTTCTAACTAATAATAAACATTGATAGAAGAGGTGATTTCTTCTCAGAGGTTGAAAAAAATATTAACTAATTAATTCCCACAGCACCCCTCTGAGGGAATATCACTCTCTCTCTTTTGTCCCTGGAGAAGTTGAGGTAGAGACTCTTTGACGAAACTGCAGTGACCCAAAAGTGAACTAGAGATGGAAATGAGTCATTGACTTTGGGCTTTAAGAGGAACAATTGGGATGATCGGGTCTTAAATTGGCTTTCCCCCATGTCCCTCGGTTTTGAATTAGCCAGATGAAATTTCACTTTCAAGTGAAATTTAACTTTCATTTTAAATTTAAATAACAACGTTTATGTGTCCACCTCAGTTTGCCTGTATCGGTAGAGTTAAATGAGCTCCTTTGCTATTGTGCATCTTTTCATTTAGTCAACAAATACTTCTTGAGCACTTGCGATGTATCAGACACTGCACTAAATGCTTTTCATAGTCTACCTCTAACCATTAAAAACAGGAGTCCCTGGGTGGTGTTAATGGCTAGCCCCTAGACTACTAGACCCCAGGTTTGTGTTTCAAGCCCACCCAGCAGCACCGTCAAAAACAGGCCTGCGTCTCTGCTCCTGAAAGGCTTTAAGGTGCCCATGTTTGACTCTGCACACACGGGTCACCATGCGTCAGAATCAACTAGATGGTTACTGGTAACCACGCCCATTGAAGCAACCCTGGAAAAAAGATACTGTCCTTTCTCCGGCACAGTGAAGGACTCCGAGGATCAGCAGGTGGGGTTGGTCAACTTGAAAAGAGAGAGAGATATATAAAAGAACCAAAAAAGATAACCAGTTAAACTCGAACTTTAGATAAGCAATACGTTTTTAGTATTAGCAGGCCCCAATGAAAATAATTCATTGCTTAATCAAGCATCCTTATTTTGCCTGGCAACTCTAATCAGGAAGGTGAAATAATCAGGTCTGCCTGTCTCTCCAGCCTGTATTCCATTACACCATCAGCTTCCTTTCAGGATCAAATTGCAGAGCGGATATGTTGAAATTACGTAGAGAAGTTGGCCAAGCAATGAAACCGCCAGGTTTGGGATAAATAGCCACATAACAAACACGTAACAGAAATAAAGCTTCGTTTTTTTAAAGGCTTCTGAGAAGTTCCTGGATATAAATCTCCCAAACCAACATGGCCTGACCGCTCTGATGCTGGCTGTGAGAGATGTGGATCTGTTTGAGAGTCTCGACATGCTACCAGCCTACAGACCCGTGGAAGTTCTGGCCGAGCTCCTCAGCCATCGCGCGTGAGTACACATGCTCCGTGGCACTCCTAAAGGGACTTCATAATTGCAGAGTGATGGACAGACGCTAGGGGTTACTATGTCACCATCAGTCTCAGGACACACATTTCTTGCTGAATAATTAGGGTTATAGTGTTTCATGGGAATGCCGAAGAAATCTTGCATAGTTCCCTCACCTCCACCATGTTACTAATTATTTCAGATAGTATTGTCGCTGCATCAAAGCTGCTTCATAATGTTAAGGTTGCTCTTAGTGTCCCTATCTATGTACAACAGAACAAAACACTGCTACTGATCTCCATTCACCTAAAAATTACTCTTTGTCATCGTGAGATTTTAGGAGAGGTAAGGTAAACAATTAACTTTTTAAAAAAAATCAGAGGATAAACAAAGTCTCTCTTTTTAGTGTTGTGTTTTCCAAACACTGGTACCTAGATGTTTGGTCATCAAGAAAGGACACATGTTCTTTCTAAGTATTTTTTATGGCTTTTACTTTGGGGGCAAAAAGAGGCAGGAGCTTCCAGAACAAATGTGAGCAGAATAAGAGAGCTTGTAAAACACAAAACCCAACCCACGGCTGTCGATTCCATTCTGACTCACAGTGAACCCATGTGATTTCAGAATAGAACTGTGCTCCACAGGGTTTTCAACGTTTTGGAAACTGATCCTCTGGGCTTTCTTTCCAGGCATCCCTGGGTGAATTTAAACAGCCAATCTCTTGGTTAGTAGCTGAGTGCTTCATTCTTTATTCAAACCAGGTGTGTTAGACAGGGTTCTCTAGAGAGATAAAATCAAATTCCTGATAATATAATATATTTATTTATAAAGATAATTAGATATATAAC